TATTGGGGTTGGTCTCGTACCCCCCCATACCTACTACTGCAGGCGCACTGTGACGTTGCCTCATTGTTAAATGATATTAATAGTAGTATGACATCAGGGGAATGCCATAATTGGTATGCGGAAATATGAAACTAGGCGTAAATAGGGTACGTTGCAATTGCAACATCATCTGTCTTCGATTTTGTGATTTTTCCACGGCTGTTCTTTTTTTCGATCGACATCGTGAAGTCGTAATAATTTGTTTCTTCTGAATAATAACATGTGGATGTAGTTAACTCGTAAAGTCTGGTAGGGATAAAATGGAGATGGAACTTTACAAGGCATGGTGATGATTTATCGCTACAAAGAGTGCAGTTTTGCTGTGAAAGTGACCGAAAGAGAGATAGCAGGTAAATGTCATAAACAAGGGTTTCAGCTTGTTGTGGGGCTGAGGTGGGCTGGGCTAGGCTGACGGTGGGGATGGGGAGGGGGACACTGCTCCTGAAGGGGTTTGTTTTTCTGAATTATTACTCGGACAGCTCTGAGTACACAGTACTCGTGTAATGACGGCAGTGAGGGGCAAAACCCAATGTGGAATTCTCTGATTTACGTGGCTTTGAAAGATATGTACATGATATGATGTAATTTTGTATTTCTTAATTGCAGTTCTTAACATGTATATACATGTACATGTACTTCAAATGCATACTTGTGTTAAATTTTACATTTTTATTTAAAATGGGGACTTTCCTGATTGATGTCGGGACGTTTTATTGCATGCTTATACGTTTGCATATTCATGAGCAAAACCATGATGTCATATTACGGCAGAGGCAACCAAGTTTGCATGGTGCCAAGCACTATTGAAAAGGAGTTTTCAAATAAATAATACAATGCTAACGAGGTTGAGGCAGAGGCCTCGGTGTCACAGCTGTTTACCCACCACAAATTGCCAGCATTTGGGATTTTGCCGCATCAACTTTCTGTTATTACTGTTTCATTTTTTTTTCTCAATATGTTCATGACAGTCGGATGTTTTCAATGAGGCACATCATAGATTCATAATTTGTGAACTTAAATCATAAAACGTGAACGGTCTATTCCCTGAAGTAACACCACAGAAACAACACTTAGAATGACAGTAATGAGGCACTTCCAAAGATAATAAAAACAATACAACAACAACAGACTGATAAAAAACAACAACAACAGACTGAAAAATGTTTCCAAAATTGCAAGGAAATACTTGAAATGACTCTCCAAAGACGTTGTACACAATTAAGCGCGGAAGTGGCGTCAGGTTGCAACATTGTTTCCTGGCGTGTTTAGCACGTATATCGCCACACCAGTGCAACCAAGTCATTTTGTGTGTATAGGCTCCAATGGATAGTTCAGACGACGATTTCTTTCTGACTAAAAGCAGATTTGCAGTCATGTTCAAAGTGTGGATTCGTAATTCCGAATCCACACTTTACTAAAGATTCGTCGTTCCGAATCCACACTTTGTGACCAGTGTAAGAGATTCGTAGATCCGAATCCACACTTTTTACAAAAGTGTGACGTCATAGCAATGGTTTAATTTTGAATAGAACATTTCCCCGATACATGAGGGCTTGATGACACTCTTTCGACTGTGGTCACAGAAGTCGTAGATTTGACAGTCAGTGGGTCATATGAATAAAAACTAGAATTTGCTTTTGCTGCCAATTTTAAAGTGTTCGCTTGCACCTGTATGAATAAAAATGAAGCGAACGCTTTTACTGGAGAGCATGAATTCAATGGAATGAATGATTCCGATGTGAAGCATTAACTGGTTAAAATATTATTTTTGGAGGTTGGGCAGGAGCCACCTTGAAAATACGAAGCAAAAACACTTCTGCGCTAAAACTTGCTGCATATATGATATGTTATCAGCGTAACATCATAATAAAATATGTTAAGTAAAATATTATTGATACCATATACTTTATTTCAATCACATTCAGCAAAAGTAATACAGTTTTTTTAAATAATTAATTATATCACTAGAAAAAAAAGTATTTCGTGATTTAAAGATCTGAGAAGTGTAATTTTGGAGTCAGAAGAATAAGGAGAAGTTTTTATCAAACAGCAATCAGGGAACTGAACAAACTGAAATAAGCGTCCGGTTTATTTCTGAATGAATAAATATTTTTCGGCAACCGTGACTTAGTCTACAGGACACTTGTGTTTTACATTTTTCGCGAAATTACTTTCGGCATTCTGCAAATGTCAAAAATATTTTGTATCATTTGAGTTTTATTGAAAACTCAAAGTAATCACAGCATTGTATGCATCACCTGCACCATGATGTTTTGGACTCGGTTAGCCTACATGTAAACCCCGTGTGTGTGTGAATTCGTGCACATACAAGAGAGCCTATTGTTGGCAACCACTCGTCCGTGCAATCGATCCAACAGTAAGGACGCATATCTGCCGCCTACTGTATAGTGAATGCCTAGCAGTAAAAAAAAATATCTGTTTGAAGAAGCGTCTGTACTAATGAAGTAACACTTTGTTTACATGTGCACCTTACTATGGTGCTCAGTGGACCGTGGGCCCCCACTGGCTCCATAGGAAAGTGCTCATGAAAACAAAGTGTGACGTCATTAGTACAGAAGCTTATTGATTCATTGCATTTGCTTTTCATAAATGAGCTTACTCCTCAGAATTTTTTTTCTGTGCTTGTGCTTCTAAGCATTTCCTAGTTTTGATTCATTCGACCCAAATATTGTTACTTTTCAAGCGGATTTCTCAGACTGTTCTTTTGTTTTCTAAACGTTCAGTCTTAATTTGCATTTTATTTACAACACGTGTTACTTCGATTTTTCTCACATATAAACATTGAAAAAAAAAGGAATCGTAAATAAATCACAATTCAAATGTATTTATTATAATTGACATTGGTTAAAAAGAATACTAATCAAACATCGATTTTCTATGCCTTGGGTTTAGAAATTGGTCTTGGGGTCCCAGAAGTTATTTGTGGACCTCATTATGCTGTAGCATAATGATTAAGACAATGGAAATGGTTTCTGAGGAAAATCTCTAGAATTACTGAAGGGAGTCCGTCTCGGGGTACCCCAAAAGTCTATTTGTTTTAGGCACGATAGGGTTAAAGGTCAAGGTCGTCATGGTTCAAAACGTTAGAAATACATTAAGCCGAATGTCCAACAATATACTTCGCATATAAACCTTAAAGTTGATATTAAACATAACATATCAACTTCGAAGAAGGTATATGTGGGGTGGTCTTTGGCATTGTTGTATTTGAGTCCCTGTAAGTATCCATAAGACCATCACAAGTTTATCACAGGTCCATCAGAAGTCCATCAAAAGCCCATCACAAGTCCATCACAAGCCCATCACAAGTCTGTCACAAGCCCATCACAAGTCTATCACAAGTCTATCACAAGTCCATCCCATGTCCATCCCGAGTCCACCCCAAGTCTATCACAAGTACATCCCAAGTCCATCACAAGTCCATTACAAGTCCATCACAAGTCCATCCCAAGTCCATCCCGAGTCCATCCCAAGTCCATAACAAGTCCGTCCCAAGTCCATCAAAAGTCCATCACAAGTCTATCACATGTCCATCCCAAGTCCATCCCGAGTCCATCCCAAGTTCATCACAAGTCCATCACAAGTCCATCCCAAGTCCAATCCAAGTCCATCCCAAGTCCATCCCAAGTCCATCCTTGGTTCATCACAAGTCCATACCAAGTCCATCACAATTCCATTACAAGTCTATTACAAGTCCATCCCAGATCTATCCCAAGTCCATCACAAGTCCGTCCCAAGTCCGTCCCAAGTCCATCACAAGTCTATCACAAGTCCATCACAAGTCCATCCCAAGTCCATCCCGAGTACATCCCAAGTCCATCACAAGTCCTTTACAAGTCCATCACAAGTCCATCCCAAGTCCATCCCAAGTCCATCCCAAGTCCAACCCAAGTCCATCCCAAGTCCATCCCAAGTCCATCCTTGGTTCATCCCAAGTCCATCCCAAGTCCATCACAAGTCCATCCTTGGTTCATCTTAAGTCCATTACAAGTCCACCACAAGTTCATCACAAGTACATCACAAGTCCATCCCAAGTCCAACCCAAGTCCATCCCAAGTCCATCCCAAGTCCATCACAAGTACATCCTTGGTTCATCATAAGTCCATCACAAGTCCATCCCAAGTCCATCACAAGTCCATCACAAGTCCATCACAAGTCCATCATAAGTCAGTTACAAGTCCATCATAAGCTGTGCATTCTCAAGTCAACTAACCTGCTATTAAAAGTCACCATCCTCGATGTACATCGTAGTATCTTCGATGTGATGGGATGCGTTGCTATATTGAATTGCCCCCTGAACACAAATTTAAAGATTGCGGTATTCGTGAAATGGCTTATATGTACAGCTCCTCAGAAACGGTGGATAGTATTGCACTGGTTTTAACTTGATTTTTTTTTCTATTCTTTCAGTAAGGATACTTTAACTCGTGCTGATCTCTACCAAGATGCCGCGAAAGACCGTTCAGCAGTTGAATGCATACATTAAGGCAACAGCCGTCGTGTGCGACCACTCCAACGCCAAGCTCATCAGCAGGAAGACTAAAGTCAAACCAAGGAGGAAACAAGCTTTCCTGTCTGTACTGCATTACAGGAAAACGTCATCGGATGATTGCTGTGCAAAGAGAAGACCATCGAAAAGATGGACTCGAAGACAATCAAAGCAGAGACATGAAAGTCAGAGGTAAACAGCAATGACATTATTCATTTAAAATGAGGGTTATAATTGTAAGTTAATATCGAAGGATTTGTTTGAATCATTGACTCTTTCCAGCTACTTGTGTAAAAGTTGAGTGAACTTGTGCAATTCTTCTAATTTTGCGAGACTCATGACCGTGGATGTAACTTTGGCTATAGCTTTAAAATAAATTATTCACTGATCCCATTCTATTTTAGAATAATGCATTTCTAAAACTACTCGGGATTTCCCCCTATTTTCACAGTAACACCAAAGACGTAAAACAGAAACTGCAGGTCTTTGTCCGGACTCCCTCCTCGCATAGATCCAAGACACTTTATTTCGAACTCCATCCTGAGACATCCGTCTCATCTCTCAAAAAAACAATCCAGAGGAAGATTGGTGTGGAGGCACGACATCAGCGTCTGTGCATCAGGGAAAACGTCCAGGTAGATATCAATTTCAAATATATCCAAATCTAATGTTCGCATTGTGGGAATATATATTTTCCAACTGGGGGCATCACGAAGGGGTACATTTATGTCCGCACTTGGGTAAATCTTAGGGGGGGAGTTCCCCGCCACCCCCTCCCATCGTGTTCCGCCGTCCCTGAAAATCAGTATCCATTCCTTCCTACTAGGCTTGAACGAACGTAATTTGATGGCTGTTTAAACAATGCACAACTAAAATGTTCTCACTTTCTCTTCTGATTGTGTAATTTACTTTTTTACATGATTTACTTTGTTAGCTCTGTGACTTGCTCACACTTGAGGAGAATGGCGTTCCTACTAGGCTTGAACGAACGTAATTTGATGGCTGTATAAACAATGCACAACTAAAATGTTCTCACTTTCTCTTCTGATTGTGTAATTTACGTTTTACATGATTTACTCTGTTAGCTCTGTGACTTGCTCACACTTGAGGAGAATGGCGTTGACGAGGATAAACTCATCTCTCTTCGTCTATCCTTAAATGACGCACATGACGACGATGTACTAAAAGGTAAATGGTAGAGGGTACGAGTAAATGTCCTAGTAAAAAAAAACAATCTCAATTTGAAAATATATGATGAAAATAAGTTCAAGCAGTGCTCACCAAGAATTTGTGTCGCTAAATTTTGGGCCTGACTAGGCCTTCATCGGAGCTGGGAGTCGGACTGTCGGTAAATGCAGAAAATTCAACATTCAGACCAAGAGTCTCTTCTTGTTGAATCTGTTGTTGATAACTTATAAACCGTGGCGGTCGTATTTGAAAATGTCTCACTGACGTTACTCTTGCTTTGGACAGACGAAGCCAGCATTGACGATGAGTACCTCAGGGACTTGTCATCAAAAATCGAATCATCGTGGAAGGAACTTGCCAAACACCTAGGATATGAAGAAGCGGAAATTGCAGACATCCAAACCACCAACGAAGGCAGCACTGAAGGGAGCCGTCACATGCTACTCACTTGGTGGGAAAAGACGACAGATCACGAAGACGCAGCTCAGAAGCTGAGACGAGCATTGGAGGCCATCGGGCTGACTGATTTGGCCCAAAATGTACCGGGTGAGCTAAAATGCAAAACAAGCAGATAACATTTAAGGAGTGATTAGAGATGAAACTGTACATTAGTCACTATAATTTAAGGATAAAAAAATATACGGTAACCTGCTCTCACTTCGGACTCTTTAAACAAATAAGCAACTAAAAATACCTAATTGTTAATTTTAGAAAACAAACCACCAAAACAGTAGAGATAGTTTAACATATATGATCGCTCTATATTTGTTTTTACATCAGTAACGGGCAAATCAAGAGACGAAGCAAATGGAGCCAAGCCAAACAGGCGTCAAGATGCAGGAGTAGACGAGGAGAGCAAACAAAACGGGGTGGCATCAACCGAGGAAAAGAAACTGAAAAAGGAACAAGTTGGCGATCAAGACAAACCTCAGCTAATCAGGTAAAAGACGATTAAACGCTGGCATACGTATTGCACCTCGTGTTTGAAAAATTACATAGGCATCAAATTTCGGTGGTTTTTTAGACAATTTAACTCCCTTGGAAAACAAAATTTCCTCAGTTTAAAAATAGCGAAGAGAGTGCTTACAGTGAAAGTTGATGGTCTTTACCTTTATTCATTTAATATGTCAATTCAAACTATTGAGAGACCCTTAGCATGCAGTACTGCTTTTTTGACAGTCGGAGATATGTGCAAGTCTTCATCCAAAGTCGTCGTTCACAAAAACCAAAGATAATGTGCTTGCAAGTGGATCCAGAGACACCTGTCTTGATCTTAAAAGTGATAATAAGTGAGAAAATTGCTGTGCAGCCTCAACAACAGCGACTGTTCATCCGAAGAAACTTTCGTAACTTTGAGGTAAAAATAGCTCTGTATTTTACAAAGTAACCGTGTTGTAAATTCCCAATCTACATTCCATCGAAGTAAAGACTATGCAGTGTGAGTTTTAGTGCCAACCTCTTCTGATTCTCATTACATTATTCGTGCATATTAAACCAGTGCTGCTTCTAATGTCGGTGCAGTGGCACTTAAGCACTCAAGTAATAGATTAACAACGATTATATATAGCCCCACCGATTCAGTCTCACATGATTTCATTGCACCCGGATGAAAGTTAATTTTACAACTTTTGTTTAGCCAGGTTGTGTAATCACATCCACCCAACTGGCATCGTTCAACTCTTTGTTTCAGAGAGTGCACTGTGTGTAACATCAGGATGTTATTTTTTTCCAGCTCCATAATTTGCTGACACTTCACGACTGTGGAATTCATCAGGACGAGAACATCTCACTCCGTCTGTGCACTGATGGCCTACTGGGTGGTGGACTAAAAGGTATATGCTTAAGAAAAAAACACTCTTTCGAGATGGTGATAAACCTGAGTAATTTAGATAGGTATTTAGATATTCCCTCGTAATTTAGGAGGGGATGCCACATCCACCTTAGTATCTATATTCATGTCACAAAAATGAACGACCTAAGCAACTTTAGCGAAGCCTTTGCACTGGTATATCAAATTTTCAGATCAGGATCCATGCTCTTGCATTCTGCTGTTTTGTGAGTCTGGTGAATAGCAAGTACTTGTAGTTTAAATTGTGTTGCGCCACCTCCGATGTTATTCTCAAAAGAGAAAAAAAATCATTGACATTGATATTTAAAGCGGCTGAATGAAATCCGATTAATTATTTGCTTTTTTTCAACCAAAGCATATGTATCGTCTAAAGTTATAATTGCCTTTCAATCTTAAAAGGCAATTACATGCTTTTAGTTACATACTGACGAAAAGGTTTCTTTTTGTTTTGGCAGACAAACACCCTGTCGATGATCAGTTCTTTCGGGACTTGGCTTCGAGCACTGAATCATCCTGGGAAGAACTGGCAAAACTACTGGGATTTGAAGAAGCAGAAATCAAGCAAATCCAAACCAACTCACAAGACAACAAAAAAAGGAGCCAACAAATGCTGCGTTCTTGGTGGAGAAAGCAAACATATCGAGAGGAAGGATTCCAACGTTTGCGAGATGCATTAAATTCGATCGGGCGTGCTGATTTGGTCTTAATGATTCCATCAGATGAGCAACAGAGGATGAAACAACTTGGTCATCGAGACAAGCCTCATCTAGAGGTACAATTGGGAGGGGCTAAAGAACAGAGCAAGCACAAGGTGGCTACGTCATCTGAAGACCAGAGACCGAGACATATGGTCGGTCACAGAGACAAACCTAAGCAAGAGGTTCAAGTGGGAGGGGCTAAAGGAGAAAGCAAACAGAAAGGGACTACATCATCGGAGGACCAGAGTCCAGGACAGGAGGAAGTTGTTCATCGAGGCACACCTCAATCAGAGGTACAAGTAGGAGGGGCCAAAGAACAAAGCAAGCAGAAAGAGTTTATATCATCGGAGGACCAGAGACTAGGACAGGAGAAAGTTGTATATTGCGACGAACCTCAATCAGAGATACAAGTGGAAGAGGAGAGCAAGCAGAAAGGGAGTACAGAAAGGGAGGAGCAGAGACCGAGACACGAGGTACACGGCCGACTTCACAGACATGAACCAGGAGCTGTTGAAGAGCAGGGCATACAGAAGCATATCAGACCATCAGATGAGGAACAGAGACCGAATCAGGAGGAAGTTGGTCATCGAGACAAACTTCAATCAGAGGTAAAAGTTACAGAGGTGAGCAGGCAGACAACGAGTACAACATCTGAGGGACAGAGACCGGAACATGAGGAACAAGATCATCTTCAGAGACATGATGAGGAACAGAGAGCGAGTCAGGAGGAAGTTGGTCATCTAGACAAACCTCAATCAGAGGTACAAGAGAAAGAGAAGAGCAGGCAGAAAGGGAGTACAACATGTAATCGACAGAGACAGGGACACGAGGAACAAGACAATCTTCAAAGACATGATGAGGAACAGAGACCGAGTCAGGAGGAGGTTGGTCATCGAGAGACGGTTGAGGTACAGAATCAAGTTGCAGGTGCCGGAGAAAAAAATTCCCCAAATGTTTCAATGACATCATCCCAATCACCCTCATTTAAATATCGTTTAAAAAGGTCTATTCTCTCATTATTGCCGAAAAGGAAGAAGGCAAGAGACCAAAAATTAGTACAAGAGCAGATGGGGGATGAACACAGTAGGCAGGCAGACAACCAAAGGGCTGGGTTTCACGAAGAGCGGAAAACGCAGGAAGGGACCTTATCATCTGATGGACTTTGTCCGAAACAGGAGTATGTTGTTCATCGAGATAAACTTCAACAAGACGTTTTAGTGGAAGGGGTTAAAGAACAGAGCAAGCAGAAGGGGACTTCATCAATTGGGGACCAGAGACTGAGTAGGGAGGAAGTCGGTCATGAAGCCAAACATGAACCAGAGGTAGAAGTGAGAGTGGCTAGAGAACAACGCCAGCAGAAAGGGACTACATCATCTGAGGGACAGATACAAAACCAGCGAGAGGGAGGCGGCACAGAGCCGAGTATTCAGAAAGAGAGGATACAATCATCCGAGGATTATGGACTCAAAAGGTTAACACACCAAAATCCAAGTCATGGGCAAGTGGATGTTGTACCTAGAAATCCTTCAGAGATACAAGAGACATTGGTCAGAGAAACGACATCACAAGTCGGACAGATAATGCAGAGTCCAAGTTCAGTTCAAGACATCGCACCTGTAGGACTCCAACTAGGAGCCTCATCCCCATCAGCTGCTGTACTCAGATGTGGACCTGTGCAAGTGCAACACGTTTCAGTGGATTCCATGCATATTGGCGGTGCAAATAATCCGACCTTCCTGGGACCCGTTAATGATCCTACTTTCACCATCATTCAGAACGTGGCTATGCCAGAAAGCAGTCCAGGTAAATAATGATACGCAGAGTCGTATCTTCTCTCGCTTGCCATTTTCACTGTTTTCCTCTATCATAAAGTCAAAAATTGTTTTCAAGATATACTGTCCGTGCCCAACAAATGTTCGCTGTTTCTCCAACCGAATACTCCACTAAAATGCTATAGATATTTTTTTAAATGCTATAATTAAAAGACAAAACAGGTTCGTAGCAAGGTCATTTTGATTGGGGTGGGGGGGGGGGTGGCATTGTAGACGTACACAAAGGGCACATTGTTCTTTTCCTTGGTAACCCGACCTCCGTAAAATAAAAAAAAAAAAGAATGGGGGGGGGGGGAGGGGGACTGGACACCATTTCCTATTGGGGCCATGTGCCAAGCGGACGACTATGGGAACTATTGGGCAATTTAATAGTCAGTGTTCTTCGTGCTGGCACAATTGCTGCGTTCATGGGACGATAAATATAAAGACAACTCGTGGACAATAAATTCTTAAAACTCTCCAGGGGGAGTAATAACCACCTTACCCACCCCAGATGCTACGCCACTGTACTCCAACAACTACTTTAATTCTATTTTAGGCAACAAGTAGACTTGTTCCCAGTCCTTACATTATCGACACTTAAAATACATTTTTCGATGAACGTGGGATTATTTTCGATGTCTAAAAATACTGTTTGTATTACAAGAAAAATGGCAATTTGCAAATAAAGTGTATTATATGGGATTAACTAGAATATAATACATCTTTAAATATTCGGCTACAAAAAGTGACGGAGACGCCAATTGTGCCACTAATTGATAATATGGTTGGGGAAAAAACGGCTAAAAGGGGTCATAGGAAAATCAACAACATGAAGTGCGATTGTATACAGTTGCTTCAAAGGAATTCTGGTTTAATAACGGAGGGGTGGGGACGCTGGATTTAAGTGCATCATTTATTTTTGTTACGCCGGTGCCGCTGCAAGATACACAAGTAATGTTGCATCTTTTCTTTTAATAGCCGAGATGGGAAGAGCTAAATCCAGTCCGAGTGATTCTGCTAGTCAGTGCAGGAGCGAATTGAAAGACCGGTATACTGCCACAGGTAGTTACGTTCAGTTAATACCCTGGGTCGATGACGACATGAAACATATTAGGGACATATATACAGAGTTACAATTCGGACAGGATGACCAGGATGACATAGAGGGGTTTGTTAAAGAGTATGGGGACATTTTTCTCGTTAAAACTAAAGACGGGAATGTGATTAAACGCGCCATTTTGTGTGGGTCAGCTGGGATGGGGAAGTCAACCATTATTGACAAAATGGCATACGACTGGGCTACAGGTGTTGCACTTGGAGAGTTTCCACTTGTGTTTGTATTAAAAATGTCCGCTCTCGAACAAAAGTCGGATCTTGTTGATTCAGTGTTTGACCAACTTTTATCAGATGACACAAAGGTTAACAAGCGTGATTTGGAAGCATTTATCAAAGACAATGGTAGTAGTGTGCTCATTCTGATAGATGGTTTTGATGAATTCGGGACAACTAGCCTGGAACCAGAGAAATTTGGGTCCATTCTAAGAATGCTCAATCGAAAATTTGGCAAAGAATGTTTTGTAGTTGTAACAACACGCACCTCACACTTTGCTAAATTGGCAAGCAAATCACTCATTTCCAAACCTTTCACCCATGTGAAAGTTTTGGGATTGAGGAAGGAAGATATTGGGCAGTATGTGAGAAGGTTTTTCTCTAAAAAGCTTGATATTGCTGAGGGACTTCTTGACAGGATTCAGTCATCAGATGTGCTGTCTGATTTGTCAAAAAGTCCCATGTTTCTTCTGCTGATGTGCTTATTATGGAGGGAAAAGTCAAAGCTACCCGAAACTTTATCGAGATTGTTCAGTCAGGCAATTGGATACATGTTTCGAAGAAAAATGCCTGAAATATCAGAAGAAGCAATATCGAAAGTACTAATTGCAATCGGCAAAACTGCATTCAAAGGGCTTGTTTCCCCAGAGCAAAGACTATCATTTCAAGAGGAAGAGTTTGAGAAGAGTGCACTTGATAAAGCAAAACAAGCGGGTATTCTCACTAGCCAGCGGGTCATGAATTGGCTTGAAACGCACAATAACGTGCAGTTCATTCATAAGACACTTCAAGAGTATTGCGCAGCTATGTACTTTCAGTGTCTTTTAAGCAAAGGAGACGGGACATTTCAGAAGATTCTTGATAAACTTGGAGATCCTATAAATTTTGAGTACTTGATGCGCTTCTGCTGTGGCGACAATGAGCATTGCACACGGCATGTACTGCGAATGCTGCATGATAAGGATATCGATAGCGGGAATCTGTATAAGGATATGAAGGAATTGGGCTTAAATTGCTACTTTGAAAGTCAAGCAAGAGATTTGTTATCAGTTGATTTCATTGAGTCTTTTTTGACTGGAGGCATAGAGTTAAGTGGCAACGACAGCGTAAACTCGTTTGTGTGGTTGCTGCAGCATGTTGCCGAGCAGACAGAGTTATCGGAAGTAGATTACTTCGATAAAGTAAGTGAAATTCACTTAGAGGCGTGTAACCTGTCAAGGTTGAGTGAAGTCGTAGCTTCGCATTTGATCCCAATGAGAAACGTGCGCGTTTTGCATTTCGAAGAATGCGCACTAACTGGTAGCAGTGCTAACAAACTTTTGTCATCATTTCGTAATGGAGGTAACTTGATTGAAATAAACCTTGGAGGAAATAATTTGGGCGGCTCAGCCAAAGACTGGGCGGTCCACTTGCGAGGGATGAAAACCTCGCGACACTTCGTTTGAATGAATGTTGCTTAGACTCGCGTGATGCAGTAGACATTGCATCATCGGTTGGGAATATGCCAAACTTGGCCGATCTTGGTCTTTCAGGCAATAAGGGATTGGGTGGTAACGTAGGAACGTGGGCGGCTAGTTTGCAGTCGATGATTCACTTAAAGAAGCTTGACATGAAACACTGTAGCATTTACAGTCGCGATTTGAAATATATCGCTGAATCAGTAAGTCGCATGCGGAATCTGGTGGATTGTGATTTCGGTAGTTTCTTTGAGGAGTGGCGGGTACAGTCAATGGGAAATGGCATAACGTTGATCATCAAGGGGTTAACACTCACTGTCAAGGATTTCGCGGATGTACTGCAGTCATTCAATAAGCGGAGCGATTTAGTCGGATTGACTATTCATGGCATTTGTGGTCTGGGTGGTTCTGCAGGTATCTGGACCCCACTCTTGCAAAACCTGACGGAACTTCAGGAGTTAGAGTTAAGTGATTGCGCACTGCAATGCGCTGACATTGAACACCTTGCTGCATCATTACGTCAAATGCCAAACCTGACCGATCTCAACATCTCAGAGAATTCGAACTTGGGTGGTCACGCAGGAACTTGGGCGGCTTGTTTGCAGGAAATGATTCACCTGAAATCACTCGATTTACGGGAATGCGACATCAATGAACAAGATCTATCACATATTGCATCATCAGTAGGGGACATGCCCAACTTGGCCCATCTTAGCCTTGCAGGCAATGAGGGATTGGGTGGTCACGCAGGAACGTGGGCGGCTTGTTTGCAGAAGATGATTCACCTGCAATCACTCGATTTATGGAAATGCGACATAAATGAACAAGATCTATCACATATTGCATCATCAGTTGGGGACATGCCCAACTTGGCCCATCTTAGATTTCCATGGAATGAGGGATTGGGTGGTAACGCTGAAACGTGGGCGACTAGTTTGCAGTCGATGATTCACTTAAAGAAGCTTGACATGAAACACTGTAGCATTTACAGTCGCGATTTGAAATATATCGCTGAATCAGCAAGTCGCATGCGGAATCTGGTGGATTGTGATTTCAGTAGTTACTTTGAAGTGTGGCGTGTACAGTCAAGGAGTAATGGCATAGAGTTGAGCCTTCGGGGGTTCTCACTCACTGCCAATGATTTGGCGGATGTACTGCAGCCATTCAATAATCGGAGCGATTTAGTCAGATTGACTATTCATGGCATTTGTGGTCTGGATGGTTCTGCATGTATCTGGACCCCACTCTTGCAAAACCTGACGGAACTTAAGGAGTTAGAGTTAAGTGATTGCTCACTGCAAAGCACTGACATTGGACACCTTGCTGGATCATTACATCAAATGCCAAACCTGACCGATCTCAACATTTCAAAGAATTCGAACTTGGGTGGTCACGCAGGAACGTGGGCGACTAGTTTGCAGTCGATGATTCACTTAAAGAAGCTTGACATGAATTACTGTAGCATTTACAGTCGCGATTTGAAATATATTGCTGAATCAGTAAGTCGCATGCGGAATCTGGTGGACTGTGATTTCAGTAGTTACCCTGAAGTTTGGTGTGTACAGTTATGGGGTAATGGCATAGAGTTGAGTATCAAGGGGTTCTCACTCATTGTCAAGGATTTGGCGGATGTACTGCAGCCATTCAATAATCGGAGCGATTTAGTCAGATTGACTATTCATGGCATTTGTGGTCTGGGTGGTTCTGCATGTATCTGGACCCCACTCTTGCAAAACCTGACGGAACTTCAGGAGTTAGAGTTAAGTGATTGCTCACTGCAAAACACTGACATTGAACACCTTGCTGCATCATTACGTCAAATGCCAAACTTGGCCGATCTCAACATTTCAGAGAATTCGAACTTGGGTGGTCACGCAGGAACGTGGGCGGCTAGTTTGCAGTCGATGATTCACTTAAAGAAGCTTGACATGAAACAGTGTAGCATTTACAGTCGCGATTTGAAATATATCGCTGAATCAGCAAGTCGCATGCGGAATCTGGTGGTTTGTGATTTCGGTAGTTATCCTGAAGTGTGGGGTGTACTTTCATGGAGTAATGGCATAGCGTTGCGCTTCGAGGGGTTCTCACTCACTGCCAAGGATTTGGCGGATGTACTGCAGCCATTCAATAATCGGAGCGATTTAGTCAGATTGACTATTCGTGACATTTGTGGTCTGGGTGGTTCTGCATGTATCTGGACCCCACTCTTGC